GTCTGGACCAGGGCTTTTGTTTGCTGGGAGTATTTTTATTACTGCTTTGATTTTATCAGTTGTTACTGGCCTATTCAGGACTGGATAGGAACACAAGGGAACTTTATGGGACAACATAGGAATATGGTTTACACACATGTATACTTCTGTCCAAATTCTACAGCTTAGATCTGCGCATTTCAATTTATGTAAATTTTAGAGGAAAAGAAACTTACATAATAAGTGGTAGCTAAAGAATGGAACAAGTTATAGATAATACAGGATGACCGAGTGTTGGTAATGGGTGATGGGTATATGGAGTTTATCTCGTTGTCTATTTGTATGTGCTTGAAATTTCCGTAGTAAAAAAGTTAAAAACAAAGAAAGACATACAAACCACAAACCAAATGCTCTAAATTATCTGACCCATCAGAAATACAACTACTCTGTCAAACTGCCATAAAATTTGTAATCATTTACGCTAGGTGTTTACAGGTAATTTGTTGCAGTCCAGTTACCAACTATCTATGCCTGGCAGCAGCTCCTGACCACAAGCTCAGCAACACTATCTCAACCTCTCTTTGCCTCATTTTTTTCTTCACCAAATAATAGGAGCAGTATAACAACATTGACCTCTTAGAGGTTTTATGAGTATTAAACAACAAAATATATGTAGAAAGCTTTGAATAGTGTCTGGCATAGAAGTGCTCCATCAGCATTAACAATTATTCTCATTAATACAACCTGCTACAGTTTGTTTTTTAATTCCTAGGATCTACTTAGTTGCCAGTAATTTTATGTCTCTTTCTAAGTTATTGACATCCCTTAAACTTTGAGCTTATTACTAAAAGAAACCCAAAACACCTTTCTGCTTAAATCTTTGCTTAAGTCAAAAAGATAAAAAGAACCACCTACTGTACTGATGAGGAAACTGAGAGAGGTTCAAAGATTAAATACAAGACATTTCTCAGGTTTGCCCTGGCCCAACCATTCCCTGAAACAAAGGGGTATTTCCATAGATAAGTCATTACTGCCAGACCCTTCCTGGCCACTATGGTTTGTCCATACAGGGGCAGATTCCCAATCATAGCTGAGTGAATCAGATTCTTTCTCTCAGCACTATGCTATGTCCTTGGCAGCATTATGAGAGGATTCTCAAACCCTGCTGTCTTGTTTCTGCCTTTCCCAACAGGTTGAGGAGTTAGGCCTCCAATGAATCTTCCATGCAATGGGTCCTCTAGCATCCTTATGATAAACTCACCTTTTATCTCTAAGTTGGCCTGTGGGGAGCCGTTGTGGCCCTAGGCACGGAGGAGCTGCCTGGGTGAGCTGCAGAAGTGCTCCCCTGCTCCCTGGGAGATGTGGGTGAGCTGCTGTGGCCCCAGGCACAGAGGAGCTGCCTGGGTGAGCTGC